AGATAAAACTTAGTGTATAATTTTTGAAATTCAAATTAAGATATATAATTTAAATAATTTAATATTTATTTTGTGATTTATAATTTTATATAGTGTAAGATATAACCTAAGGTAATTATTATCGTTCCTTCTTGCCCACAAATCTTGGAAACAAATTCAATCTTGTATGGTTATTATATTGGGGTTAGTGCTTGTCTGCCTTATTTCTAAAAAATTAGAAGGAAAAATGACAAAAATTACCTTAATGCATGCTTTAAAAATAAGGTAGTTTAGTCTTTTTAAATAAAAAGTTATTAAAACGACATAGTTTTAAGATGATTTTCTTCCTAATTTTTAGGAGGTAAGGCTGACAAGAACTTTTTCCTATTATATTTTTATTTTTAAAATTTATTTTCGATTTTTTTTCTTTTCTTTTTATTAGAAATAGTGGGCCACACAAATCCAATTGTGTGGGCTAGCCCTAGTTGGAGACCTCCACTAGCCAACTTGAAGAACATAAAGATCTCCTACTGCAATGTTGAACATTTGCCGATTTGGGGAAATTGCCATCTCTAGAATCACTTAAAGTAGTCTCAAATAACTATTAAATAATATCATATTATAGGTAAAATTTAGTGTATAATTTTTGAAATTCAAATTAAGATATATAATTTAAATAATTTAATATTTATTTTGTGATTTATATAGTGTAAGATATAACTTGAGGTAATTATTATTGTTCATTCTTGCCCACAAATCTTGGAAACAAATTCAATCTTGTATGGTTATTATATTTCTATTTTTTAAATGTATTTCTGATTTTTTTTTTTCTATTCTTTTTATTAGAAATAGTGGGTCACACAAATCCAATTGTGTGGCCTAGCCCAAGTTGGACAACTCCATTAACCAACCTGAAGAACATAGAGATCTGGGGCAGCCACGTGGAACATTTGCCTCCTTTGGGGAAATTGCCTTTTCTAGAATCACTCATGGTGGATGGTATGCGGAAAGTAAAAAAGGTGGGAGTTGAATTTTTGGGGATAGAAATGCCTTTGTCTCCATCTTCATCATCCATTTTTGCCTTCCCCAATTTGAAGTCACTGAGATTTACATGGATGATGGGACCGTGGGAAGAGTGGGATTATGAAAGTAGAGGAGAAAAGGATATCACAATCATGCCACGTCTTTCTTCCTTGACAATTTATCGTTGTTGGCATTTAAAGATGTTGCCGGATTATATTCTCCAAAGTACTACCCTGCAAGAATTGAGTATTATTGAATGTCCAATTATTTCAAAACGCTGCAAAGAAGACTACCAGCCCTTTTTCAAGCGCATTCCTCACTCCAAAGTGTTAGACCATGACTGGAGAGTCGGACTCGAACTTTGAGTAACTTGCAAAAAAGGAAGGTATTGTCTAATTTTGTTTTGCTTAGTGTCCTTACCCTATTTGATTTTATTTGTTGGCAAGCAATGGGGTGAAAACCCATTAATTACCCATACACATTCAAATAATAATATTAAACCAAACAAATTACTAGTAAATGTAGAAGTTGATCTTTTTGCATTCTTTTCCTTTCTTTAAAAAAATTGCCATTTTATAGTACAAGATGCATTATTGCTGAATTTTACTCCTTTTTTTTATTTTTAAAATTTCAATTTTTAAGGTATTTATATTTCAATTGATATAACATTATATTTAGTGATTTATGTAATTTGAGGTAATTGTTATTGCTCCTTTTTCTTTCCCACACCATGGAAGCAATTTCATTTTCTGTTTTTCTTTTTCTAATTAATTACTCCTTATTGCCATTTTCTTTCCTTCTTTTCATTTTTAGGAGACCCCATGTGCATAGCTTCAAAAGTTGTGGCCATGGTGGAAGGATGATGGACCGGCCTGGCTCGTGGTGCTCACACTAGCTTCCATGTGTCAGCTTTTTAGCATAG